ATCATTGTGAGGATGTCTTTTTGCAGATGTGAGAAGCACATTGCTTCTAAATAAGGCATAAGAGGTAGAATTATAAATGAAATTAGGAAGAGTTTTACTAAAATTGGTTCTTATGGCAAAAATGCCATTTGATTGGTTTTAATGTTTTTGCCAGTAGATGAATTTTTCTTTCACCTTAATTTTTTTCACAGATATACGTGTACATATATGGTTTTGACCTTCCAAGGACCAATTGAATTAAAATAAAACCTGATGAAAATAAAAGCAAAGAATAAAAGGAAAACCTACCAATTACATTGCAAAATCAATAAAAATGCAGAATGCACTTTCTTGTCATTGAAAAGGACTGCTTTGTTCAATTTATTATACAAGGATGCATTTTCCCCTAGATTAGACAAGGAAGTGTTAACACAAGGCTGGGGCATACAGTTTTAGTTATCACAGAATTTTAGAGGTGAAAGGGACCCTTAAATTAATTAATACAACTATCTCATTTTATGAATGGAGAAATTGAAGCCTAGAGAAGGCAAGCGATTTTCTCAGCATTTTAACCAAGGGTTAGTGACAAAATGCATACAAGGACTGATGCCCAGTGAGTCAGACATCCTGCTCTGTTGGTGACATCATTCTGATAAAAATAGAATCGTGGAATCTTCTAAAAAAATCTAGCATTTATTTTCTAATGAACTAAGAAAAGCAGAGAATGATAGTGGAAATAACTTCAAGAATTGTTGTGGCACCAACTGCTGGGGGGAAAAAGAATATTTTGACTGGATAAGCATGAAGCTATGCTTCAATTTAGTACTATTTGAAAGCTAGAAAAGTACCATTGTTGTCTTCTACCAAGGGTTTTAGAGAAGACAAATAGACATAGCAGATTACAAAATTAACACAGGAACAGGAAACCAAATACCACATGTTCTCACTTATAAGTGGGAACTAAATGATGAGAACTTACGAACGCAAAGAAGGAAACAGCAGACACTGGTGCCTACTTTATGGGGGAGGGTGGAAGGAAGGAGAGGAGCAGAAAAGATAATTATTGGGCACTGGGCTTAATACCTGGGTAATGAAATAATATGTACAGCAAACCCCCGTGACAGGTGTTTACCTATGGAACTAAACCTTCACATATACCCCTAAACTTAAAATCAAAGTATTTTAAAAAAGAAATTAAACTTTAACCAACATATAACATTTGCTTTTTCTTCACAAATTCTCTCATTCTCTCATTTGGGAGGCCTTATTTTTATTAAGGAACAGACACAATATTGAAAGTTTAGCAGTATTATTTAAGAATTAGTTGTCTCTTCAAATGGTCGGTATGTTTCCAATACTTCCTTATGTATATTCAATACTGCATAACATTAACATGCCTGGAACCTTCTAGTAGCCTGGTACAACTTTTCAACTTAAACATCAGTAAAACTCCTTGCGTCTTTGTCCAGGTTTTCTTGATTGTTTCTCTGTGTCCCTCTTTTGTTGATTTAACTTGTACTGCTCAGCCATTAGTACCAGATCTTCTGGAACACTCTGATTTGCCCTTTCCAGAATTTTAATCAATTCACTAGCCATTTTCGAATCTCTCTGAGTGATGAGGGTAACTGATGTGCCCGTCTTTCCTGCCCGTCCAGTGCGCCCTACTCTGTGGATGTATTCTTCTATGTTCCGTGGGAAATCGTAATTATATACATGTGTGACATCATTAATATCAAGGCCTCTGGCTATTAAATCAGTTGCAATCAGTACCTTTATGTTTCCACTTTTAAAGTCCTCTAATGCTCGTTCTCGGTCACTCTGTTCTCTGTTGCCATGCAGTGCTTCTGCAGATACGCCTAGGATGTTGAAGTCGCTTGATAAGTCATCAGCAGTATATTTTTGGCTGACAAACATGATGACTTTGTCTTTTGGCGTCAGGTTCTCTATGAATTCTTGGATAAAAGCTCGTTTTTCTTTTTCTGTGGTAACAATTATATTTTGCTTCACTGCATTTGTGGTAGTGAGATTCAGAGTACCAACATAAACCATCATAGGATCTTTCAAATAAGAACGTGCCAGTCGGTGAACGGTATCTGGCCAGGTTGCGCTTGTCATGACAGTCTGCCGGTCTGGGCGCACATCCAGTAAAATCTTCATTATCTGGGGTTCAAATCCCATATCGAGCATTTTATCCGCCTCATCCATAACTAAGTAGGTTATGCTTCTTAGGTTGACACAGTTATTCATCTGTAGGTCATTCAGCCTCCCAGGAGTGGCGACAATGATATCCACACCTTTGCTAATGTCTTCTATTTGCTCTCGTCTGTTTCGACCACCATATACGCAGATGCTTTTAAGACCTTTATATGAGTACTTTGAACATTCAGCTTCCACCTGAAGAGCCAACTCTCTAGTGGGTGTAAGAACCAGCATCCCAGGACCATTCCTTTGCTCTCTAGATATTGGTTGAGAATCAAGATGAATAAACCCAGGCATTAAATAGGACAACGTTTTCCCTGTTCCAGTTTGTGCAACTCCTATAAGATCGATTCCTTGTAGAATAATTGGCCATGCTTGGGATTGAACTGGTGTTGGCTTTCTAAATCCTGCCCTTGTTATGCTTTTCAAAAGATCAGGGTATTGCCGAAAAGCATCTTCAAACGTACAAGCGGGTTTGGGGATGAGACGCTTTTCACCACTTTTCAAGTCATCACATGTTACATCGCAATTTTCCTTTCTCCAGTTAATCACCTGCATTTCAGACATGGAGCTTGTTGCTTTGGATTCTATGTAAAAGTTTTTCTTAATTGGTGGTAGATCTGCCCATTTGCTCTTTTTCCTCTCCAGGCCGCCTGCCCTAATTCGATCCCAATCTAACGATGGCCGCGCTTCTCTAACACTGTCATTTCTGCGTACATTTCTTCCAACAGGGGGTTGGGATGCAGCATTAGTAACGCTGGATTCTGAGGTGGAGCTTTCTTGTTTTCTAATAAGAGTCTCTATGGCTGCTTTGGCGTTTGCTTTCATTTCCTTGTTACCAAAAATCTTTACTTCAGCTTCAGATGCCCCCTTTACGATGTGTATTAAAGTGTTTGTTGACTGTTCTAGGGCTTTTATTTTGGATCCACCGCGACCAATTACCGCACCAACCATATCGTTCTTTATCTTAAAGCTCAGTGGTGGTTCACCGGAGCCAGCTGCTCTAGGTCCCTGATGGCCGGAGGGGCCGCACCAGCCCCCGCCTCTCCCGCCTCTGCCGCCTCTGCCGCCTCTGCCGCCTCTGCCGCCTCTCCCGCCTCTGCCGCCTCTGCCGCCTCTGCCATCCCAGCTGGCCCCAAGATCTCTTGAATTAGGCTCCGCCCTCTTCCACTCTGGGGCCCGGTGGGACATTGCGGGATAGTGGGAGTATCAGCACTGGCTTCTCGCCTACATACGGTTGAGAAGGCAGGTCTGCGGCCTCTTCCCCGTCGCCCTCTGCAGCGAAGGTGGCGGCGCAGGCGATTATTTCCGGGTGGTAGTCATGGTAGGCAGCGGTTACCTAAGGAACCAGTGTTTGACGTGCAGGGGCGAGGCTTCGATGGCCTGACCAATCGCAGGGCCTGGACTGGGGTGAGGTCACAGGCCTCTGTGACGCAAATTTAAAGAGACACTCACTCTCAGGGGCTGACCCTGCCAGCACCCTAAGAGTAACTGACGCCTTAACTTCTGTGTCCTGGGTACCCTTTCGCTCTTCTCGTGATAGTTCTGGCTCAGCTTGAGAGCAACCTTGAAGCAGGCCTTAAACATATATACCATATACACATTGTCCTTTATATAAGCCATTTATTTCTCTAAGGAAAAAAAAAAAAGTGGATTTAAAGAAAAAAAAATTACTGATTTATATGTTTGTGAGTTTATTTATTTTGGCAGATTTCTTTTGGAGTGAATACAATACTTTGTTAAGATAAATTCATCACTTCCCTGTCCTCTAGTGTGACCTAAATTATACTAATCAGAAATCTGTTAGGTGCACACTCTAGGGGTGATGGTTAGAAGAGAGGTAGAGTGCTGCCTAAGGTACTTTAGGGGCTCTTTTCAATGGTTTGTGACTTTTCTCACTGCCTCTTCCTTTTTTTCCTTCCCTGTGGTTAGATAGATTCTGAGACCTTAGCACTGGAAGGCTGTGTAGAACTCATTTATTAGGTACACGTAGAAGACATTCTAGCAGCAGTCTGGACTGAGGGATGTCCAGCTTCTATTTAGACAGCCCCAGAGTCAGGGAGCTCTCTTCATTTCAAGAATATCCATTCCATTATGAGGGTGTTTAATGGTTACAAAGGTATTTTTGAACCCAAATGTGCGGCTTCTTGCCCTTAAGTCCGTCTTCAGACTTCTGAAGTTATGCAGAATTGGCTTGATTGTCCTGTAGTCTTGTGTACTTAAGGACCTGTCAAAGGTTTCTTTTCTTTTTTCTTTTCAAAGGTTTCTTTTCTTTTTTCTTTTCTTTCTTTCTCCTTCCTTCCTTCCTTCCTTCCTTCCTTC